GCCCCAATTTTGCCTTTGGTCACCGTTCAATACCCTGCCTCTATCATAGATCTATTCATCGCGCCAGAAGGGGGCGTTATTGCTTACTTTGAGAAACGCTGAGCTAAAATAAAAGTCAATGTGTTAGAAATATTCAAGTTGTTACCTTCAATAAAAAATACATAAAATGTCAACATTTTATATATATTCCGTCGAATTTTTATATATAGAATTTGTCTGCCGTCACTCCTCTATATTTCCTTAACGCCCCCCAATTCTCTTTGAGCCTTCTACTGCCCCCCTGAAAGCCTCCAGCGCCCACAAGGGGGCGTTATCGCCCACTTTGAGAAACGCTGGCTTAGAGCAAGCATGATCAATTTGAATAAGTATCTGACTTATTTTTCTAGTACAATAAGAATGAGTATGCATATAATGAAATGTTTTTGAATTGTCTCATATGTAAAAACGTTTTGCCATGTTGGCTCTAATATAATTAATAATATATTTATTAGAAAATAAAATATAAAAATTTATAGATTATACTTAAACAATAATAAAATTATATGAATAAAAAATTTGAAATAGGGTCATTATGATTTTGGATTGAGAACAATCAAAACTGTTCTTACTATGGCAAAGAAATTAAAATTTGAAAATCAAAATGAAATTGAAGATCTAATTATTTTAAAGGCAGTAAAGAATGTCTTAAACCCAAAAATTTTAAATGAAGATTTAAAATTGATAGTTGAAATAATTTCTGATGTTTTCCCTAACCAAAGGTATGTAATTTTATTATATTATGTAAATTCATTTTTATAAAATTCATAACTTTAAATTATTTCAATAGCAATTTGATATTATTTTATTTTAACAATATACCTTAACTGTTCTAAACTATTCTATTATTATTCATATGTGATTGATTGAACTAGTTTTATAATTTGACATTTTATCATTTCTTATTTTGAACAAAATCTTGAATGCCAAAGTTTATATAATGTTAGTGCTGTTATAATGTAATGTATTACATTACAGTGTTGTTATAATGTAATGTATTACATTACATTGGAGATGACTTGTATTTTCATGAATGAGAACAGTGCTTCATATCACAGTGTTCATGTAAATTGATTTAAGTACGTGTGCATCCAAAAGGTAAACTGGATGGCTCAGTGTCTAGATTTCAATCTTTAAACCATCAAGAATTATTGGGATAAATTGAATTGTCTAAAAGATAAAGTTGAAAACTGTTCTTCATTTTAAAGTATGAAAAGTAGAAAATTTAGAGAATGTAAAAACTAATAGAAGTTCTGTTGTATTCTACAAACACTAGACATTATAACAAAAGTTTCAGTCAGTGTTTCCCAACAGTCTGTACTGACACCTTAAGGATCTATGAAAGATTGAGGGAGGTTGTTAAAACTTTACAACCATTGATCCATGAAAAAATTTCAGTGATCCACAGAAAAATATTTTACCATGCTGATGCAGTTGATTATGGGTGACATTTAAATAGTAATCTAGAGTTATTGTACATAGTTTGTTACATACAATAACTCTAGATTATATAGTTGATATAGTATTGGGTTGGCCTATAAGTTGTGGTGTTTTTGTTGTTGTCGTTAAAAGCATGTGAAACCCATGCACCCAACTTTTGAACCTTTCTTATCGAGTGAAGATGATGTTCTGTGGTACTGTGGGAGCATTCCATTATCTCTGCTAATTTCCTCATCATTTGGTGTGGATCTTCATGAATAAGCTGATTCAGTCACTCCTCATCGAACTAAGTGGAGCATCTGGTGCGATGCATGTCTTTGAGGTCGAAATTGCCATTTTGAATTGCTTAAACTAATTTTGAGCTCTCCTAAGAGGCATCAGTTCTTCACCATACACTTCACAAATCTTTCACGCAGCTACTGTGGCTTTAGTACCTCGATTAAACTCAAAAAGCAGAAGGTGTTGAAAATGCTCTCTTTTGTCGACTTGACACTCCATTTTATTGACCTGAAAAGAATAAAAAGTATATCAGCATAAAAAAACTAAACACACTATTTTGTAGAGCACACAATTCTCTATCGAATAACATAAAATGCATTGCCAAAACATTTTATTTTTCATGCAAAATTTTCACTTAAAAAATGCCAGGATTTATGGACCAACCCAATATATAATATTGAAACAATTGATGGAAAATTTTTTTTTAAAAAGGATTGATACATGAAAAAGGTTAGGAACCCCTGGTTTTAATACTTGTAATAAGTTTTCTGATGAATATAATAAATGGCACTCTGATAGTAATTATAGAATAGTGTATAAATCTATTTGAAAAAATCAATTACATTAAACTAATTTGTTTTATGGCATCATACTTACATGACATTTTTATTTTATTTTGGAATTAATAAAAAACAGTATTATTATTTTAATTTTATATTATCACTTTATAATTGTTGACATAACATAGAGTGTACACAATTATTTATCAAGAAATTAAACCATTAACAAACTATGTTAACTTTCATTGTTTTAAGCAAACCTATATAAACTTTCATTATAAGTACTAAAATAGTTCATAACTAGCAGACCCCGCCACGCCTTGTTGTGGCTCAAAATGTATCTATTATAAATGTATAACACTTCCCCAGTGGGGGAAAATTTTTCGAAAAATTTTTTCTTAGTGTACATTCTGTTGACGTACCCTATTAAAACGCAATCAAAAACGCAAAAACCCGCATCTAAAATAGTTATAATAAAAGCCAAATTTTTCAGAGTAAGCCTTAATCCTGTCTCTCTCCCCCGCGGGGGGAATATCAAAAAATCCCTTCTTACTGTACATTCTGTTGACGTATCCTATTAAAATGCAATCAAAAACGCAAAAACCCGCATCTAAAATAGTATAATAGAAGCCAAGTTTTTCACAGTAAGCCTTAATCCTGTCCCTCTCCCCCACAGGGGGAATATCGAAAAATCCCTTCTTAGTGTACATTCTGTTGACGTACTCTATTAAAATGCAATCAAAAACGGAAAAAACTGCATCTAAAATGGTATAAATAGAAGCAGAGTTCTTTACGGTAACCTTTTCCGTAAGGCTTACCGTAAAGAACTGTCCATCCCCATGTTTAACGGAATAATATACAGCCTATGTCCACCCTGAAGTTCCGTGCTAAATATTGGTGAAAGAATTTTTGAAATCGAATGAGTAGTTTCGGAGATTTCCTGCTGCATACAAACTAACGTACATACATACATACATACAAACATTACATCTTTATAATATTAGTATAGATAATAGTTCATGTGTCAATTTAAAAGACACTGTAATGTGTAATTTTAAAAGAAAAGAAAAAAAATTTGACTCCTGAGAATCACTCAGCATAGATAAAATTAAGAAATTTAATGATTCATTAAAAAAATTTTCCTGACAAAAAAATCAGAAATTTAATAATGTGTATACAGCAAGTTGGCACAAAATTTAGTTTGACTGATGTTGTCTGCCATAATAATAAACAAAGAAAACTTTACCTAACTTAATTCTAACTTAACTAGTTTTTACAATAGTAGTAGGGCTCTGGATCAAGATGGGGGTTTTTGGAGGAAATAAAAATTAAGATGGAAGGATTTAGAAAAAAAAGATGGTTGGCAAATAAACTTGGGAGTTTTCTTTCTTCGGTGATGGGGAGTAATTCTATTTTGTTATTCCCAATACATGTGTTACTTCTCTCTCCAACAACTCCATCCCCAAAAGATGTCCATCTTGTCCTCTGTACCTATATACCTGTTTGTCCCTTAGTTCTTCTGACTAATCAGATTCTATCCCTTCTGTTTCAAAGAACACATCAGACCAACCAATAAGGGCAAGGCCAAATGGACAAAGCCCAGAAGTACTAGTTTTAAAAGAAAGGGAGGAAAGTTAATAACACAAGGCTTGATCAAGCCACAACACGATAGCATAAGACATTTGTAATCTATGCACATTTTTTTATACAAATGTGATTGCTGAATCATAATGAAATTAACAAAACATTGTCAAAACATTTAAAGTAATCTGTTATATTTTCAAATGTTTTGATAAATCTTTTGATAGATAATGTATATGTTGGTAAATTAAAATAGTCAGACTGTTTAAAAGTTGGTGTTTGTTATGAATTTTTTTCATATTATACTATTGAAATAAAATCAGACATTTCTTTAAATTGATCATTTTCAAAATGCTTAATCTTTGGTTACTGATTCCAAGTTTTATAAGTACAGTACCTGTTAGAAGTTTGACAAACTCTATGATTTTATTTTATCAAAAATGTAAAGCTAATTTGAAACAATATTATTACTTTCCTATAAAAATGTTTTCTGAACAATTTAATATAAAAATCAGTGAGTAAAATTACTGGACATTTAACCTTTTACAAAATTATTAATTTAAACATATTAATAAAAAATAAGCAATAAAATAAATTATATTGATGTTACCTATGAGTTATTTCTTAAAATGCAGTCTTGTTATTAATGCAAAAAAGTAAAAAGTACAGTATATTCATAGCAAATAGATGTCAATTATAGATGGTGGGAATCAGAAAGAATGAAATGGATGTAATTTATAGACAGCCCCTAATCTGTGGTGCCAAGTACTAGAATATTTATTAACAGAAAAATAATACAAGATGATAAAAAGACTGTCATTAAAAAAGTTATGTAAAAATGTATTTGTTTCAATAAAATATCACCAATAATTTTACATACAGAGAACTGATTACTCTTGGCATACTGGACAACAATAATGTGTTTCACAATATTTTTTATATTTTATGCATAAACTGCATGGCTTGATTGCATGCAGTTTTTTTTGTGATTGGTATAGCCTCTCAAAAATGAAATTTATCTTCAGTCCTAAGGGGCTATCCATAAATGATGTCCATACTGGAAGGGAGGAAGGGGGTTATGACAAGTTGGACAAATTCAGATAAGGGGAGATAGGGGTTGAACTTCAGTGGACATTCGTTTTATTTCATTAAATTTTATACAGTTTATACATTTTATTATTCATAAAATGGTAAAGATTTTGAGAAGTTGAGTTTTGTTGGATGTTTGAAGAGGGAAGGGGGTTACAGAAACTTGGATAAACTGGGATAATGGGGACAGTGGGAGTAAAAATTTCAAGAAAAATGTGGACATAATTTATGGACAGCTTGTAATTTTGTTTAGTCCTAATGGAGTGTGAAATTTTAGCCTCAGTCATATAAACATGCATTCAGTGATTTCTTCTTTGAGTTCAGACTATTATTGTACCTCCACAGCATACAATGCGTATTGAAGGAGGTGATTTGAAGCTAGTCGTTAAAAAACGACTAGCAGAGAGATGGCAAATTATGTGGAACGCACAAATTCACAATAAACTATATGAGATCAAACCTTTAGCAGAAAATTGGACACAATAGGCAGTATGATAGGAGATCTGAGGTTGTCCTTACTTGTTTGAGAATTGGACACACTCGACTGACTCATCAATACCTTTTGAAGGGAGATGACGAACCAGTGTGTCAGTACTGCAACTGTGCTGTAAGCATTAAACACATATTTTGCAAATGTGTTGCTTTTGATCAGATTCGTAGACAGCATTTCGGAAATGCAAGCTTTAAGACATTTTGGGCCAGAGGCCAAATCTAGATAATATACTGGACTTTCTGAAAGTCATTAATATGTATAGAGAAATATGATGATTTATTTATTGTATAGTTTTATTTACTTTGTGTTGCATATTTAAATTATTGTTGTTGTTGTTTATTTATTTATTATATTTTAGATTTTATATTTATATTACCATTGGCTTTTTAATGGTTAAACTGTTATGTATCGTTTATGTGTATATATGTGTTTTCCTATTTATCTTATATGCCCAATCATACCATGTGTCATGGCACAGTATAGCCTGCATGGCTTTTGTGCCAATAAAAATTAACCAACCAACCAACCAACCATTATTGTACCAGTTGTTTGATGGAAAAGGATGTTTGCACTGTATATATATATATTTAATTTTTTCAGTCCTGTTTGTTTGAGTTTTCTTATGCTGAATAATAATATAATAAGACATTTGATCTATGCTAGGCATTTCATTGTTATAATCTCTAATGGTATTTTGTTTTATATAAGTTGATTGGGTTATCTAATAGTTGGCTTATTTGAAAAATTTTCTGTTTCATGTGTCAACTATAAGTTAACTTTTTTAGGTTTTTTGACAAAAATAAGATTTTGTTATAAATTTGACCAAAGAATTCTTGTTATAAATTGAGTACAGTAGATCCCCCTATAAAACCGTTTCCTATAGTTATGATTCCTATAAAAATTGTGGCAGTATCCGTAAACAACGGTAAAAATAACTCCTATAATACGTAAAACGTCATCGGGCAGCCAAACTACTTTCCCGCCGTCCGTAGCGCCACGCCACGGACATTTAGGCAGATAAATTGAGTTTAGTATCGTCTGTTCATATAATTATATATAAATTAGGTACTGTACATATAATTATATATTAACTTAATTTATTGTAACTTTATTATAATTAAATATATATTTTTCGCTGTCTAGCGTCACGCTACGGCGAGTTAGGTGACCTATCGTCTGTCCAGTACTGTAATTTTATACATTTCTTGTGAAAGAAACATTTCTTATTTAACGGCCATAAAAATTATTTATATTAAGGATGTCTCCAAAGGTCAACGAAGTTTTCGCAGAAATATAATATCAGTAATCGCGGCCGCGGTTTGATGCGCTGTTCCGCGACGAAACCAAGCTTTAGCAACGGGCGTAGTCGAACGGTACACACTCGGTAAGTAATCCTACAATTTTTTGTTTATAACGTAGTTTATACAGATTATTTTCAAAAAAATATACGTATTTTGGAAATGTTGAGTCGAATTAGTCTAGAATCGACTAATTTTATGAAAGAAAACCTTTCAAACAGCCGTAGTCCGTAAACTATGATTCCTACAAAATTGATTCATAAAGAACGGAACGTATCTACCGTCTTATAGGGGGATCTACTGTATTGCATACAATAACATCGTTTTCATCAATAAGATGTGGCAGTCAATGTCTTAAAAATATAGTATATTTTTGCTGTTACTTTTTATTACAGTAGCATATTTTATGCTAATATGATGTCATGTCTAGTTAATTGATATAGTTATGAAAAGCGAATTTTGATAATATTTCTAATTCTTTGTCATTCTAGTGATCTGAAAGGTTAGCTTTTTTTTTCTGTTCCAATTCATAGTTGTATATTTCCAATTAAACTTTTATCTGCCATATAAAATGTTAGATATTATGTTTATCTTGTCTCTATTTGTGATTTTTTTTTAATCTAGTTTTTTCATTATTCAGTTTTCTTCTTTTCTGAAATTTAACTTTTTAATACAATGAATGATAATCTATTTAATTATTTGGAGTGTGGCTACACGCCATATTTTAAACCGTATATATATATATGTTGCATACTGCATGCATTATATATATATATATATAATGCATGCAGTTTTATCAAACAATTGTACTCAAAGTATATATATATATATATCTTCACTTCACCTTCGTCTGTCCTATTTGTTTACTCTTCTATAATCTTATCGTCTTCCCATTGACTTTAGTGTGTGGGTGGACTGAGAGGAAAGGAATGAATGGAAGGCTTTTGAGAGGGGATATGAGTGGACTAAGGTGAGAGGAAGAATGAGGGGGAGTTAAGAAGGGGGAGAACGAAGGGAGTGAGTGGAGAGGAAAAACGAGGGCAGACTGGAAGTGGGAGGAGAAGGGAAAGGACAGGTAGACTGAGAGGAAGGAAGTGGAAAGAGGAGATCGAAAGGAAAGCCTCCTCTGTAAGTTTGATTGTATGGTGAGAAAAGAAAAAGAGGATCTTAGAACAAGAAAGAGAAAAAGGAACTGAATCGAGAGGAACCAGACGGATCACCCCTTTTGGATTAATATTTCAGTGTGAAACAAGAATTGAGTGAATCGGCCCCCCTTTACCGACGAGAAGCCTCATCCACAAGCCCACACATTTCAACCTGCATCATCAAGTTTTGGGTACCTTCTTTCCTTATTCTTTTCTTTCACCTTCTAAATCTTCGAATAAGCCGGCTATATTCAATTAGTTTAAATAATAATAGGAACCTAGTATTAAGTAAGATAATTTTAGTTAATCGGATGTTCGGTTCGGGAAAAGGGGACAACTAGAATTGTTGGTATCCTATGAATTCCTGTATTTGAACTAGCGAGTTAATAAATAATTGTATTTTATGTTACTTAATCTGGATTGTGTGTCTTTATGTAACTCGCAGGAATCACAGGAGCTAATGAATTAAGTCATTGAATATCTTGTCAAATAGCTTATCTTCTTTCAAATGTTTTGATAAAACTGTTAATTTCATTTTGATTCAATAGTTATTTATGCAGATAAAAACGTTTAGATTATAAATGCCTGAATTATTTTTTTATATCCAAGTATTGGTTGAAAACATTATAATGTTAAAAATTGCATCTAATACAAAATTTAAAATTAAGGCAAATTAACTAAAAGAAGTTTAAATTTTAAGTAAAGATTGATATTTTGTATGTGATTTTAAAAGTACTGATACTGTTTATAATTATAAATATTCAAAAATATTTCTTGAAGATAATATGTAATATACAGCATTACAAATTTTTATTATATATGTATGTTTTGTGTAATTTTAAATGTTCTTTTATTTATTTTTAGGGAAACAGAAACTTATGATACGGATTTAAAAATTGCAATCCAAGAAGCTTGTAATCAGATAAAAATTGATTGTACTCAAGGTAAGCTAAAAGTAACTCACAAATAAATTAATTTATTATGATTTTTTTTATATATTTTTATTTCATACATATAGAGAAAACTTCTGTAATTGATTTTATATTTCAAGATTTAAGTTGTTATAATTATTTTATTGTACACCTTCTGTACATATCTTTTACCACTAGAATAAANGAATGTTAATACCCTGTAATGCTTCATGACTATTTTTTTTTGTTTTGGTTTTTCCCTTGACCCCTTCGTTTTTGTTTGTGGTGTCATCTTTCCCCAATTCACCTTATGTTGGCAGCCAGATTGGCCAGTAGAGGTCACATGAGGAGGATATCTGCTTGCTATGATATAAAAGGTCGTGACCCATGCGTGGTAGCCGCCTTTTTTTCCTGCTTGTTCCCAATTGCGGTGTTCTGGCCACATGTGGATATACAAGATCAAGGTGCCGAGCGTGAGAGGCCCGAAGATGGAAATAAGACAAGAGAGAGCAATCTGTTTGCACCCAACTAAGGACAGTGTAACAGTGAGATACTGTAGCTGTACGCTATATTTTTGTACATATTAATTTAAGTTTAGTTTAGTCTCTTCTTTCTGCCCTTTGTTCAATTGTTCTATTTTCTTCTAGAACCTTATCTTTCCCTTGTCCTTTGGGTGGGATTATGTGTTCCTAGAATTGTGAAGAACAAAGGAAAAAACAGGACCCAGAGGTGAAAGGAGAAGGTGGCAGAGCATTCTTGGGCTAGACAGCGAAGTGAACAGACATAGTGAGAATACTTTGAGTTGTGATAGCAACAACCGAAGATTTTGGAATTAAGTTAAGAGGGTCAGCTATATGGAAAATTTGATTTAAAGACTTGTACTTGGTAATTAATTATATTTAAATACATATAATTTATTTAAGATTGATGTAATATCTTTTAAATATAACTAATTTTTAACTTAAAATAAGACAAATTAATTATTGGCATAATTATAACAAAAATAAAGAAACCAATTCAGCTATATGTCAAATATATTATGAAGTGAAATATACAATAGTAAAGTATAATTGCACTGAAATTTTCAACCATGCAGCCATCTGCAGTCATAATGGCTATAATTTTCTTACACAGATCAATAGTCATACACTATTGATCTGTGTAAGAACTTGCAATATAGTTATAAATTGACCAATGAAATTCTAATAAGAATCAACAGTTTAGGTTAGGATTGACATTGTTTGATTGAAAAAATATGAACCAAACAAAGCCATCCTTTACATTTTTTGTCAAAGAAGAGAAATTTGTAGGCATTTGTGATTGTAGATCTATCTTATTAATTGTAATTTCAACTTACTGTTTCAATTTTCTATCATTTCATATAGTCAGGATGGTGTAAGTTATAAAGGATCTGCTCATTGGCTGTGCATTTGTAATCAGCTAAGGAACAAAAACAATTTTTGTTTTCAGTCTCAATTATACTCATGCAGTATTTTGAGAGGAGGTTGACTAATTAACAAGAATAACCATAATGGTTGCAATTGTCTACACAGCTGAAAATTGCAAAGTTTGACCATTGTTTAAGGAAACATATTTAAAATCATGTATCATATGGATTATATAGCATTGTTTTATAATTTTATAGCAAACAATCCTTTCAAGCATACTGTAAGAACATGATATTTTTATTATCCAGAATATGACAAATTATATGGCTGGATTGTATGTTAGAGAGGCATTATTTTTATTATGTTTTACATGCAAATATTTAAGACTTATTGCATTGTCATATGTTATTCATATATAATTTTTTCATATTCACAAAAGTTTGATTACACTTTCATTCCATTTTGACAATATTTTCTATTGGATGATTATTTTTTTGAAATAAAATTTACTGCTGGGACAATAATTTTGAAAAATATTTTACAAATTTCTTTTGGACAAACTCTGTGTGTGTCTTTTCTTTAATCCTTCATACACCAATAGGAAATAACCAAACTTGTGGCGGAGTCAACCTTTATCTAGAGACTACTTATTTTATTAGACTACATTTTACCTATTCCATCATATGTAATACATATAGTACAATATAATGTTTTTTACAAAAATAAATGTAAATAATATTTTGAAAATGTGTTAAACATATAATTTTTTAAAATTTATTTTCATTTTCTAATTATTTTTTATCTTTGATTACTAAACATTAATTTTATAAAATAGGACAGATGGTGTTTTATGCAAATTAATTCGTAATGGTACAAGTACAGCATGTAATAAACATAAATGGTATATTTTTGATGGTCCACTAGATTCATCTTGGGTAGAGAATATACACAGTGTTTTAGATGAGAGTAAGAAATTATGTCTAACAAGTGGCGAAATCATAAAGCTAAATGATGTAAGTGATAATCATTTCTTTAAAAAATATTTAATATTTTATAATATTTTTGTAATTATTCTATATTGAATTTTTATTTTTTCTAATTTCCTTCAAATTTTAAAAAATCCATCAGGTTGCATAACTTCCCTGGAAAAAAAATTGATAATTGTGTTTAGCATTATCTGTTATATTTTATTAAAATCTTTTTATATTAGTAATTAATATAAAATGGCAAAAAGCTTAATTTTAAGGGTAGAAATGCATTTTATAAAAAAAAATTGTATATGCTGATAATGAGTAAAATCTTTATTAAGCCTGTCCACACTTGAGATATGACACAAGACCACACTCTTTCTCCCCATCCCCTTGACCATTAACCACTAAAATTTAATAGCATCAATCTCTTAATACACAAATCTTCCTGCAAATTTTCAGAAATTTTTGACAAAAGGCATAGGAGTTATTAAGCTTCAAAATGGGTAAACAAAATCATGCCTCTCAAACACACACACATACACACACAGTAACATCCATACATACAAAAATAACCCCAAAGTTTTTGCATTTCTAAACATTTCAAAGTCCTATGAGTCAAAAAATTAAGAAACTTGGAGGTCATTTTCTGACTTATTGTTATAGTTTCCCTCTGTTATATATACTACCCTACAATAATGAACCGAACAGCAAGATGTGATGACATAAGATAAAGAATACATGCTTTAATAGTAGAAAAGTCCCCCACATGCTGCAATTACAGTAGCAACCCTTCTGGGCATACTTTCAACAAAGTTTTGATACACAGCTATGGGCAATTGTGCCTATTCCTGCTTCAAGAATGTCACCAGCTCAGCTGTAGATTTTGGATGTGGGTCCCTGGTCCGTAAGCATCGCTCTAACTCATCCCACAGATGTTCTATTGGGTTTAGGTCGGGACTCTGAGCAGGCTAGGGAAGATGGTTGACATCCATATTTTGATACCACTGCTTGACAGAAGCTGCAACATGACATGGAGCATTGTTGTCCTGGAAGTAACATTTGTTGAGTTTCCTGTAGATCAAAATCCACGGAGACAATATATATATTTTTATATATAAAAATATTTTNATAAATAAATACAGAAAAATAGATATATAATAAAAATACATAAAATAAATAGAAAGTGCACATAAATAAGAGTTAGTCTTAAGGGCAAAAAAAGACCATAAGGCTCTTACATTCTGGTTTGCACTGAAGAAGGATGTCTGCAATTCTTCCAAGGTTGACTACATCATAGTGGAATACTTAAGACCCTTTCACAATTCTATAAGGAGATTAGTGTTGAGTTTCCTGTAGATCGAAATCCATGGAGACAATAATTATATATGTATGTATAAATATATATTAAGGACTCAAACAACGACCAAACACGTGCACGAAAATAAACCAAAAAAAATTATTTTACCAGTACGATAACCGTGATTCCTACTACTCGAGTTTACACGATATACGATTCCTACCACTTGAGTTTACACTATATATACGTATCGTCAACTTAAAACTAATAGTTATGTACAAAATCTGGATGAAAATTACATTACAAAATGTATGTTTCTCGTTGTTATCTCCAAATTTCCTTAAGATGGAAACGGATTGGACTCTTGAACTCGAATGGTCTTCCTTTCTCACTCCTATTCTCCTGGCCTGGCCTCAAACCTTTGAACTATCCTCTATGGATACAAAAACCAGAATACCTCAATCGTGAGAGTTCACACATTTTTATACTTCCCGCTCTCCGGAAGTCCGCTCTACACAAGTGTCCCACCTTGAACCAATCAGAAGGCTTTTCGCATGATACCTAAGAGGTGACATCATAACAAAAAAAATACATGTGACATCGAACAAATTAAGAAAACCCAATACATACAAAAAGGAACCCGAGACAAAAAAAATATAATACTAATACATAGTCACATAGCACTACACATTTGTCCATTCCATAAAATTGCCAGAGCATAGGAATAACCTGATAGTCCAAAATGTTCATGTAGGCATTCAATTTACCAGGAACATGCAAAGGTCCTAGGCCATACCATGAAAAACACCACCATCACCAAACTTGACAGGTGTCCAGTCCATTATTGTAGGGTAGTGTATAACAGTTGGGAAAGTAAAAATGATATTTTTTTAATACAGTAAAATTCAATGATTAGATGAAAGCTATGATTTTATGGATTATGTACTGTACAGTACATACATACATATATACAGTATATGTGTGTGTGTATGTATGTATGTATATATATATATATATGTAAATAATAATTATATAAGGGAAAGTGGCCCAGAATGATTCCTGTAGGTAAAACAATCTTATTATTTTTCTAATTAATAAAATTGCAATATATGCTTTTATTATAGTATTATCATCTGTTGAGCTGTTGTTGAGAGTTTTATATTTGAAAGTGCAATGTTGATGTCATTGCTAAGAGATATACTGGAAAAAGTGTTTTTTGTACAGTACTTGTTGATCCAAGGCATGTTCTAGTGAACTTGCCTTGGATCAACAAGTACAAAATATTATGGTAGTAATGAGTGTCAAATTGCTATAGACTGTCATTATAAATAACAAGTCTGTTTGATCTGTTATTTATAATTTACTCTGTGTGTGAAGCAACCTAACCTGTATATGATGGCTTATGCTAAATTTTACATTTTTGGGCAAATGATCTTCAGAGGTTAGGTAAAATGATTCATATAAATGTGATTGGTATGTAGAAACTATTAAAATAAGTAAAATTCTTAGAAGAATATGTTAAGTATTAAATGCTTGTTACCCATTTATTTATTCTAATTTGTTGCTATCAGTTTTATGTAGTTTTCTTTATTTAACAAACCAAACAGTTTTTTTATTGTTAAGTTATCTGAATAAGTATTACTTTTTTCATAAAAATTTAATTACATTTATATAGTGTTTTAACATAAAAATAAAGATATACTGTTTTTCTTATTTCAGTTTTTAATGAATGAAAATTTTGTGAAAATTAAGAGGAAGGATCATTTTACCTTACCTATGGGGTAAAATGGTCCTTTTACAAAAATGAGCATTATTATAAATAAAAACTTACTTAATTATTTTTGTTAAAATAAGAGATTATTCCTGAAGTATAACTTGAGGATAACATGATAATGAATTTTACTTCTCTAAGAATGAATTTTACTTTTTACTGCAAATTTTGTCTTAAGGGGATGATTTTTGGGCCACTTTCTCCTAATAAAACTTATAATATTAATATATAATAATAACAGTAGGCTTTCAATTTAATGGACTAATCGTAGGGAATAGGTGTTTGCTAATTCCAAAAGTTTGTTAAATTTAATTTGTTTTAAAATAAACTGAAATGTCAAAAAATTAGACACACCTATCTACTTATATATAATTATTAAAAGAGAATTACTCACTGTTTAAATTTAAATACTATATTTGAATATTTATACCTAAACAATGGCATATTGTTTTTTTAAATTTCCATTTACAGGATTTTAATATATAATTTTTAATGATAGAAATTATACAATTAATTGGTTTAGAATATATATTTCAAATAGAATATATCAGATAATTGAAGTGGATAAATTGTATAATCTCTTTTTGTATTTTATAATTTTTCAAAAATTATAAAATACAAAAGAAACATAAATATTTTTACAAAATGTCTTAGATTTCTCTTTTAGATGATTGTGTTACAACCAGAAACAAGCTTTATTCTTAATTGTTTTTTATGTAATTTTTTTATAAAAATTAATAAAATAGTTCTTCAAATGGTCAATGATTAAAATGAATTCCACATACTTAAATCATCATTTATTTGATCTTTAAATGCCAGCAGTTTAATTTAGGAAGGCATTAATTTTAGAAGTAATTAAGTATTATTTAAGAACATATAATGAAAACTGTAAGCAGTTTTGAGTTATTCTAATGATAGTAAGGATGTTTAAAATATATTTCATAGGAACAAAAAATTATTTTTGAAGTGGACAATGTATCTTCAGCTTCACCAGCGATAATTAGTCGATGTGGTGCAGTTTATTTAAGCTCCCATTTAGTTGGATTAGAATCTGTTGTTGAAAGTTGGCTTAGTAATCTTCCTACATTGGTCCACTCTCATATAACAACTCTGCGTGAAAATATTAATCTCTTTCTTTATGTAAGTATATTAAAGATTTAACTTTTTATCAATCTACATTTAAAAATTATAAATTTATTTTTTATATTCATATTTAAGGAATAATAAATAAATTTAAAAATAACAAAGTATATATTTTCTTCTTAGTCATCTTTGAAAATAACTATAACTTCAAGAAAATATTTTCCCAGTTCAGATAGAGATTTAACATGTAGCATGCTAAAAATTTTGGAAAGTCTGTTTTATCCATTGATTCAAAAGACAGTAAGTAGTTACTTATAAATGATGTAATATTCAGTATTAATTTTGTATAACTTTTCATTTATAAAATTTATTTTTGTAAAGTTATGGTGTATTTAATAATGTGTAAAGTTTTGACTGTGCTTTGATCTCTTACAACACTGCAGTTGGATAAAGATTATTCAGGCATTAAGATGTCTGACACCAGTCAATTTTTTTTCAGGAGGATTGATAATCACATATGTGATAGATTTTAATCCTTTTCTGTGAGCAAGTGTATAACTTTTAGAGAAATAAGAAGACAGGAGACTAGCCTTTGAATTTTTTTTTCTAAGACCAGTTTATTTACACTGAAGAATTATATGATGTTCTTTTGCATTGCATCTCCTACCTGGTGTGTAACTTGTGAGAATTCATTGGCTAAGTATTTTTCACCAAGGGAGAGAAAGTACTTGAGAGTTCTAAAAATGGATGAAAGATTGTAAAATATCTTCTTTGTAGGTGAGTTTGATGAAGTCAGACTGAACAAATTTGAAATGGAGGAGAATAGATGAGATGGAGAGGATGGACACTAACAAAAGTACAAAGGAAAGGCACCAATACAGCTCCATTCTTTTCACTTTTTTCTTCCCCCAGCTTCTCATGTGAGGAATCTTCTCACAAAACCCATTTGGAAAACTATTGAACCTTCTTATTTGATTGGATTTTCAAATTGTCACCAAAAGTTTACAAGGATTACCCCAGACTTGAATACTCCATCTAAGAAACATTTTTTATCTACTTTTTCTTTTACTCTCTCATTTCACCATTGTTTTAACCATATACACAAGAATCCAATTATAGTTCTAATCTGACATCCACGAATCAAAATGACAAATTTATCAATGCACTATTACAATCTAGCATGATATAATTTCATCCTTTGTCCACTCACTAAAGTACTGTTTACTTCTTTCATTCAAATAGAAGTAGAGCTCAGATTTTTTTTATGCAAATGCACATTTGAGTTTTGACTGATATTTAAATAAGTATTCAAAATAATAATCAAAATTTGAGTTTAAAATAAGTAGAAAAATGGAAGTTTGGAGGTCCTATGACCTAAAATTTGGGACTTATAAATGCATATAAATGCATACTTTCAATATTTTGCCACCCAATAAAGCATATTTTCTATGCATTTGTAGCTAGAACTATTTTAAGATGATTAATACAAAACCTTCCTCATTTATTTCTAGCTGTTTACACATGAGTATGAATGTTTTCAGCTTTCTTAATAGGCCTATACCTCTATACCTATCATCAGTGATGACATCACTGGTAAGACGATGCCTAGGTAAACATTGGCAGCATTTAAACTTCTACCAACCGATGCTCTAACAGATCACAGTGTACCTGAAGAAGGCCTATTAAGAAGGCAGAAAACATTCGTACTCGTGTATAAACGGCTAGAAATAAGTGAGGAAGGTTTTGTATTGATCAAAGCATATTTTCTTTCTTTTGAGAATTTTCTAGAATGTTAATACCCTGTAATGCTTCATGACTATTTTTTTTTGTTTTGGTTTTTCCCTTGACCCCTTCGTTTTTGTTTGTGGTGTCATCTTTCCCCAATTCACCTTATGTTGGCAGCCAGATTGGCCAGTAGAGGTCACATGAGGAGGATATCTGCTTGCTATGATATAAAAGGTCGTGACCCATGCGTGGTAGCCGCCTTTTTTCCTGCTTGTTCCCAATTGCGGTGTTCTGGCCACATGTGGATATACAAGATCAAGGTGCCGAGCGTGAGAGGCCCGAAGATGGAAATAAGACAAGAGAGAGCAATCTGTTTGCACCCAACTAAGGACAGTGTAACAGTGAGATACTGTAGCTGTACGCTATATTTTTGTACATATTAATTTAAGTTTAGTTTAGTCTCTTCTTTCTGCCCTTTGTTCAATTGTTCTATTTTCTTCTAGAACCTTATCTTTCCCTTGTCCTTTGGGTGGGATTATGTGTTCCTAGAATTGTGAAGAACAAAGGAAAAAACAGGACCCAGAGGTGAAAGGAGAAGGTGGCAGAGCATTCTTGGGCTAGACAGCGAAGTGAACAGACATAGTGAGAATACTTTGAGTTGTGATAGCAACAACCGAAGATTTTGGAATTAAGTTAAGAGGAAGATCCTGCTTTAAGGTCGTAAAGATGACCGTAGAAAAAGAAATTCAAAGTATAAATAAAAAAATATAAAAAAAAAGAAGACAATGGGCCAATTATAGAAGGAAGGATGTGTTATCCCACCCAAAGGTACACATAAAGAAACAAACCAAAAAATGGACGAAATCCCGGGTATCACTATTTCTATCTGCTATGCTACTTTTTCTGTCTTTTTAATTCTATTCCTTTTTTTCTATTAGTGTTAAGTTAGTGTTTAAGGTTATTTTTAAGGTTTCGGGATATATATATATATATATATTGTCACGATTGGGATCTGTATTATACGTGCTGTAAATACCACGATCGATTATTATCACTATAGTTTTGCCTGCTACTGCTTGTACGATATCGTGAAGTCCCCCAAAAGAGAATCAATCTGTAACAAAGACACAAAATTGTTCAATTGGAATTATATATAAAATTTTTTATCATGTCTGCCTTCATGGTGAATTATAATTTTGTGCACTTTCACAATACAACTTATTCAAGAGAAAGAAGATCTGTGGAGGATTCATTCGAACAGATTAGTTTTTCTCTTACAGTGTTTGTATGCAGTATAAAAGTGTTGTGAGTAACTTAGTTTGTAATTTTTTTCTTTGTTACGTGTCTTTCGTTGTCCCATTTTATTACTTGTTGTGAGCCCCCAAAGTCAAGGAGGAAAGAGAGGGAAGTGTGTAAACGGGTGTAACATTTGATTGTACTACTTGGATATCACAAAATTTTGTCAATTTTGTGATAGTTTGCATTCTATGTAAATATTGTGATTGTGCCAAATGGAAATTTATTAAAAGCCGATACATCTGTTAAGCCAACTTGTCTGTTTTTTTGTCTAGCCCTGCAGACCTTGTTCTATGGGGGCACTCTACAACCCTCGTGAGATTCATTAGTACTTATCATATAAACACAGATTGCATGAAATTGCTGTTGTGTAGTCCAATGGAAGATAAAAAGTGTCTGTGTAAATATTTAAGTAAATCAGATTATCAAAATTGTAGTTTTGATATAACTTATGCAAAGTGTTTATTGTAGCCAACATTTCATTTCACAATTCACCAATGATATGTTTAAGAATTTTCTTAAGAAATATAAAAATGAAAAAGTACCAGATGAATCAGCTCTTCAAAAGAAATATATCATTAGTTGTTTAATGAAATTATCAATATAATCAGAACAAATGCTGAAGATTAAAATTTGTGGTTTTTATTGACAAAACCAAAGATACACTTGCTAGTTATATTGTTAATGTAATGATTGGCATGCTTGATAGTGCCATTGAAAATTTAGAGGCATCAACTAAAAATACATATTTGCTCCATACTATGTTCATAGAAGCAACAAATCATTCAATCATCATTCAATCATTGCAAAATGCATAAATGATGCACTACAAATTTTGTGACCAGATGGAATACATTATGATAGACTGCTCTTTTTTATGTCTGATGCTGCTAGCTGTATGCTCAGAACAGCTGAGCTGAAAGTGTTTTACACCAAAATGACCCATTTAACCTGCTTAGTACACACATTTAGCAGAATTTGTGAAACTTCATATGACATTTCCTGATAACAGTAAATTAATCACTATCGGCAAAAAAAGTCTTCATAAAGGCTGTAAAATGATGACAGGAATTTTTAAGGATGCTTCCAAATATGCCTATTCCACCAGAGCTTGTACCAACACATTAGACTACACGGCTGTCTGCTATCATCTACTATGAAGACAGTATTCACAATATACATCAAGTTGTTAGAATTTTCAATCTTAAAGATGTTGTGTACATTTCAGAAGCTCTGGGTGTCTTGAAAGTAACAGCATCAAGCAAAAACTTGTCTATATTAATTAAAGCTAATTTGTATTTTTTAAAGATATGATTACCAAGTTGGAAGGGAGACTTTGTAGCAGTATGCCATTTTGTATATATTAATTTAAGTATAGTTTTAGTCCTCTCCTTTGTTCTTAGTTTCTTCTTGCTTTCAGAACTTTCCTTTCTAACTCTTTTCCCTTGGGTAATGACCAATTCTTGGAACCACAGAGAACAATGAAAGAAAAGAGATCCTGAAGGCTGGTGAGAGAAGGGAAGAACATTCTTTGGCCCAGACCTCAAGGTGGACAGATGTTGAATATAGTGTTCCAGGTTGCTTATGGCAACAACTGGAGAGTTCAAGAGAGTCCAAGGAGAACATTGGATTTTATCGTAGTTACGATAAAAGATGTAGCAACTAGGTGCAAGGAGATACCTAGTGAAGATGGCAATGAGAGGCTTTTCAGAAAAAGTTCAACATGGCATCCCACCCAAATTGTGAAGTCTGGCAAAACCCTGGGTATTTCACTCTTTACTGTATTCTAATTTCCCAAATTCTCTTCTCACTCTATCATCTTCTTTCTTCCCTTAGTTTTAAGCTTAGTTACAGGTTTTGGGTTTAATTTGCAATTATTTGTTGTGAATGGTATATCTTTGTTATGGAAAATCTTTGTCAATGGAAAATCTTTTGTCATGTGATGTGCACACGAAATTAGAGTTATCCACAAAGGCAGACAAGATACAAAAACAATGAGATGATATATTTCCTATTTCATGTTTTGATACAGATTCTTATTAGGGATTCCAATGTCACAGTACAATACGATGGTGTACAAATTTGTGGCATGAACAATAGTTTGGTATATCCACTACACATAGAAGGTTCCTGATCGCGACAATATGATCAATCCCAAACCTTAAAACATAACTTAAATACTAACTTATTACTAATAACAGAAAAGGATAGATGTAAGAAGATATAAAAAAGAATATATAGTATAAGAAGGGATACCCGGGTTTTGGGGCATATTACTCTCTGCCTATTTGTTGGATGGGATGCCACACGTTATTCCTATGTAAATGGTCCATTGTCTTATTCTTCAATAAAATTCTGTCCGTTTTTTTTTTTTCTTAGTATTTTATTTTCACTGTCACTCTAAACTTCTTTCTGATATCTCCGGTTGTTGCTAAGTTGACTCAGAGTGTTCTACATCATGTCCTTACATGTTCCAGTCCTGGCAAAGTATGTCCTGCCTGTTGTCTTTTTGTCCTCAGGGTCCTGTTCTCTCCTTTGTTCCCCTCATTTTTTGGAACTGGTCATCCCACCCAAGGGAAAAAGATTATATAAGAAAATTCTAGAAGAAAATAGAACAATAGAACAAAGGGTAGAAAGGAAAAAACTAAACTAAACTTAAATTATTATTTACAGTAAAATATGGCATACAGTCACAGTCATTTCTTCCATTAATTATTATTAGAAGCCATGTTGTAATTGTTGATTTTGGAGTTGGAATCCATAAAGAACTTGTTCAAATACATGAAATAAAATATTGTTGCTATTTAATATTGTTGCTATTTAATACTTTCCGAATTAGCTGCAGCTGTTTCTCTCAGCGATATTTCTTGAAAAAAATCTCATCTATCAAAAGTAACTTTTCTTTACAAATTATGAACTCATTACGGGTATAAAGCTGCTTGAGGGTACCATTTTTGTTTGTTCATTTATAAAAGTCGGAGTCTTCTATTCCAACAACAACCACCAACACATTTCGTGCATTTGTACGGCCACAGTCGACATCAGGGACTTGTATTCATACAGTATCACCAATTTGAACAGAAGGAAATGGTAAAGAATTTGGCAACAGACTGTTGCCTCTCTGTCGACATTGGCTTCTCAGGTATCATTTTGACCTCCACCAAAGCTTATCTGTGCTTGTCGACATACACCAGCAATTGTTCGAATGTATAATAATATAACCAAATATTCGGTCTTTCACCAATGTATTTTGTATATTTGTGTTGATATTCACTGCAGAATATCGACATTCTCTAATTTCAGTCTTTCACAGTAACATATATACAGTATATATGTGCATAAAATCAGACCTTATTAATTAGATACAAATTTTCTCATATCCATGATTGATTAAATTCCTATTCCTAAATGATCTGTAATATAGATTTTATTAAAATATAATAAAAATGATAAAATTTTTATTATATTGAAATTGGTCTTTTTAAGATTTTGTTGGTACAATATAAATATGCTGAAAATTTGTATCTTACTTATGATTAACAATTACAAGATAAAAGTTTAATTTTTCAAAATTTTTAAAAAATTTTATGCAGGATATATAATGTATAAAATTATCACTTGTTAATTAGTTTGTTATTAATTAACATTATTTTTAAAGGAATCAATAAAAATGCCTGAAGTTGTGAATGAAGTAATAAAATCTTTAATTCAACCATGGATTATATTCTCATTAATTTGGAGTGTAGGGACAATTTGTAGTGAAGAAGGAAAGGTTATTTTTAGTCATTGGTTGCGTGAAGAAATGAAACAGAATAAGGTTTGTTTTCACATTTAATATATATTTTATTCTATGTAGTATGGATGTAATACCTAAAATATAAAAAAGAATATATTTTTTATTTTTTTTTTATTTTAGGTATTCTAAATTATAGTTTATATTTGTCATGTATATATTTATTTGAAAATCGAATAGATTTCTGATAGAACAAAATAAAACAATACAGTAAAATAAAACAGATATAAAAACATCTATCTAATTTTACTATCAGTTTCTGTAAAAAATTTTAAGTTTTTTCTTACCATGTTTATAAATAAACATATTATTTGTTATTATTTTATTTAGATGTCTTTTTGTGCAAATTCAGAAATTATCTCAAAAGTAATTATTATTTCAATAACTTTTGACTTAGTACTTTCTTAAATTCTTAAAAAGAAATTTTTAAATAGTGGAGATGGAAAAATTCCAATTATTAAGTTGTAAAGTAAGAAAATCTCAAATAAAAATTTCTCTTTACTTAAACTTATAAATGAAAATTGGTAAGAAAGAATTGTTTACTTTTATTTTTTAATTTATGATGATTTGGATAAATATGATATTTACAAATAATAAATATCTTTCCTTCATCTAAAGTATAAAAAAACTTTAGAATTAAAATATTCTGAAAAATTGACAGGTAAATAAACATAGAATAAAGAAAAGCATGATGATTCCTCATATATCTTTAGATAAATAGAGAATGTGTGATAAATGTCATTTGGAAATGGTTTACCATGAAATATGAAAAATATCAACATATTAGTGTTTTACAGAATATAAAATAAATGATTATTTTTCATTTGTTTTTGTTTATGAGTTTGAAATAAATAGTTTCATATATAGATTGTTCACTTAAACATCTGTCCAGGGGAAAAAGAGAGAAACGTTACACAAGTGTATGCATGTGGTGCAATGTTTGTTTTAATGCTAAAATAACCAATAGCTAAATATTTATCCAAATGCAAAAAAAAATGAATTCATTTTAAAAATGTTACTGGACAGAGAAAGCTCCACAAACAGACTGCATCTTGACTAGTGACAAATATCCTTAAACACAATTGGGGGGAATGGTTTAATGACTTACCATTGACATAACTACAGCTGGTTTGATTACAGCACAATGGTGCACCACCTCATTCTCAAACAGACGTTCATTTGTGAGTGATAAGGGCAAAATTAAGAGTTATACAACGAAACAATTTTGCACATAAAAAAATTATATTTATTTTATGGATTCCAACGTCACAATACAACACGACGGTATATGAGATTACTACTATGACAATATTTAGATTCGAACGTACGGTACCATTTTTGACCGCAATAACAAAAAGGGCCCGACCTTAGAACTAATCTTATATGCTAACTTAATACTAGTGAAAGAGAAGAATAGAAGTAGAAGGATGAAGGAAGAATACATACGATAGGGACAGAAATACCCGGGATTTTTGTTGGCATGTTCGAACTATTCGTACTGTAGGGTGGGATGCCACACGATGACTTCTTTGGATTCGACTCATCGTCGTCTTACTCTATATTTAATATTTCCTTTTCTAAAATCTTTTGTCGCTGTCGCCAGACAAGAACCTTTATCTTAATGTCTTTCCAAGATCTCCGGTCGTTGCTTAAGCAACCCGGAGTGTCCACTCTCCACTTCTGTACACCTCACCGTTCCTCGAACGCCCTTTGTCTTTTCATCCTTGTCTTAAGGGTCATTCTAACTTCTTTGTTCTTCCGTTTCCCGGAACTGGTCATTCCACCCAAAGGACAGGGATTAAGATAGGAAAGTTCTAGAAGGAAATGGAACAATAGAACAAAGGATAGAAGGAAGAAACTAAACTAAACTTAAATTCATATATACAAAATATAGTGTACAGCTACACATTACTGGCTCACAAAAGAGTTTATCAACTGCTGAATAGGACAACATAACCCTATGTCATGGACATCAAATTCTGCAGACTTGACCCCTCTGGGTTTTTTCTTTGAGGTTACCTAAAAGCATTGGTGTATAATGCATACATAGCAGTGATGATGTTAGCAAACTGGAAATATGCACAACAGACCTGTGAAGGTAGTGACACAAGGACTAAGCATGGCATTATTGTGTCATGCATGCTCAAACATCTACATCTTTGTATTGCCACTGAAGGTGGTCATTTTGAACATTTTTCTCTAACAAAATAAATCATGTTTGCTTCATTTTGCTTTAATTTATATGAATTAGTCAGAAAATATGTTATGTATTATAAAAATTTTATGAAGAGTAATTGTATAGTTAATTTTGATAATTGTTTAAATATTATTACTTTAACTTTGTTTTCTTTTTAATGATTTAGATTACACCAGAAATTCCTTCTTCAGGATTAGTTTTTGATTATACGATTGATGATAAAATATTAATGAATGCATTAAAAACAGAATTTGTTCATGATAAACAAACATTTTGTGGTTAAATGGCCATTTTTCGGAGATTCTGCAGTCGGTCGAATCTCTTCAGATCAGAAAAATATCTGATCNATAGTTCTTCAAATGGTCAATGATTAAAATGAATTCCACATACTTAAATCATCATTTATTTGATCTTTAAATGCCAGCAGTTTAATTTAGGAAGGCATTAATTTTAGAAGTAATTAAGTATTATTTAAGAACATATAATGAAAACTGTAAGCAGTTTTGAGTTATTCTAATGATAGTAAGGATGTTTAAAATATATTTCATAGGAACAAAAAATTATTTTTGAAGTGGACAATGTATCTTCAGCTTCACCAGCGATAATTAGTCGATGTGGTGCAGTTTATTTAAGCTCCCATTTAGTTGGATTAGAATCTGTTGTTGAAAGTTGGCTTAGTAATCTTCCTACATTGGTCCACTCTCATATAACAACTCTGCGTGAAAATATTAATCTCTTTCTTTATGTAAGTATATTAAAGATTTAACTTTTTATCAATCTACATTTAAAAATTATAAATTTATTTTTTATATTCATATTTAAGGAATAATAAATAAATTTAAAAATAACAAAGTATATATTTTCTTCTTAGTCATCTTTGAAAATAACTATAACTTCAAGAAAATATTTTCCCAGTTCAGATAGAGATTTAACATGTAGCATGCTAAAAATTTTGGAAAGTCTGTTTTATCCATTGATTCAAAAGACAGTAAGTAGTTACTTATAAATGATGTAATATTCAGTATTAATTTTGTATAACTTTTCATTTATAAAATTTATTTTTGTAAAGTTATGGTGTATTTAATAATGTGTAAAGTTTTGACTGTGCTTTGATCTCTTACAACACTGCAGTTGGATAAAGATTATTCAGGCATTAAGATGTCTGACACCAGTCAATTTTTTTTCAGGAGGATTGATAATCACATATGTGATAGATTTTAATCCTTTTCTGTGAGCAAGTGTATAACTTTTAGAGAAATAAGAAGACAGGAGACTAGCCTTTGAATTTTTTTTTCTAAGACCAGTTTATTTACACTGAAGAATTATATGATGTTCTTTTGCATTGCATCTCCTACCTGGTGTGTAACTTGTGAGAATTCATTGGCTAAGTATTTTTCACCAAGGGAGAGAAAGTACTTGAGAGTTCTAAAAATGGATGAAAGATTGTAAAATATCTTCTTTGTAGGTGAGTTTGATGAAGTCAGACTGAACAAATTTGAAATGGAGGAGAATAGATGAGATGGAGAGGATGGACACTAACAAAAGTACAAAGGAAAGGCACCAATACAGCTCCATTCTTTTCACTTTTTTCTTCCCCCAGCTTCTCATGTGAGGAATCTTCTCACAAAACCCATTTGGAAAACTATTGAACCTTCTTATTTGATTGGATTTTCAAATTGTCACCAAAAGTTTACAAGGATTACCCCAGACTTGAATACTCCATCTAAGAAACATTTTTTATCTACTTTTTCTTTTACTCTCTCATTTCACCATTGTTTTAACCATATACACAAGAATCCAATTATAGTTCTAATCTGACATCCACGAATCAAAATGACAAATTTATCAATGCACTATTACAATCTAGCATGATATAATTTCATCCTTTGTCCACTCACTAAAGTACTGTTTACTTCTTTCATTCAAATAGAAGTAGAGCTCAGATTTTTTTTATGCAAATGCACATTTGAGTTTTGACTGATATTTAAATAAGTATTCAAAATAATAATCAAAATTTGAGTTTAAAATAAGTAGAAAAATGGAAGTTTGGAGGTCCTATGACCTAAAATTTGGGACTTATAAATGCATATAAATGCATACTTTCAATATTTTGCCACCCAATAAAGCATATTTTCTATGCATTTGTAGCTAGAACTATTTTAAGATGATTAATACAAAACCTTCCTCATTTATTTCTAGCTGTTTACACACGAGTATGAATGTTTTCAGCTTTCTTAATAGGCCTATACCTCTATACCTATCATCAGTGATGACATCACTGGTAAGACGATGCCTAGGTAAACATTGGCAGCATTTAAACTTCTACCAACCGACGCTCTAACAGACCACAGTGTACCTGAAGAAGGCCTATTAAGAAGGCAGAAAACATTCGTACTCGTGTATAAACGGCTAGAAATAAGTGAGGAAGGTTTTGTATTGATCAAAGCATATTTTCTTTCTTTTGAGAATTTTCTAGAATGTTAATACCCTGTAATGCTTCATGACTATTTTTTTTTGTTTTGGTTTTTCCCTTGACCCCTTCGTTTTTGTTTGTGGTGTCATCTTTCCCCAATTCACCTTATGTTGGCAGCCAGATTGGCCAGTAGAGGTCACATGAGGAGGATATCTGCTTGCTATGATATAAAAGGTCGTGACCCATGCGTGGTAGCCGCCTTTTTTTCCTGCTTGTTCCCAATTGCGGTGTTCTGGCCACATGTGGATATACAAGATCAAGGTGCCGAGCGTGAGAGGCCCGAAGATGGAAATAAGACAAGAGAGAGCAATCTGTTTGCACCCAACTAAGGACAGTGTAACAGTGAGATACTGTAGCTGTACGCTATATTTTTGTACATATTAATTTAAGTTTAGTTTAGTCTCTTCTTTCTGCCCTTTGTTCAATTGTTCTATTTTCTTCTAGAACCTTATCTTTCCCTTGTCCTTTGGGTGGGATTATGTGTTCCTAGAATTGTGAAGAACAAAGGAAAAAACAGGACCCAGAGGTGAAAGGAGAAGGTGGCAGAGCATTCTTGGGCTAGACAGCGAAGTGAACAGACATAGTGAGAATACTTTGAGTTGTGATAGCAACAACCGAAGATTTTGGAATTAAGTTAAGAGGAAGATCCTGCTTTAAGGTCGTAAAGATGACCGTAGAAAAAGAAATTCAAAGTATAAATAAAAAAATATAAAAAAAAAGAAGACAATGGGCCAATTATAGAAGGAAGGATGTGTTATCCCACCCAAAGGTACACATAAAGAAACAAACCAAAAAATGGACGAAATCCCGGGTATCACTATTTCTATCTGCTATGCTACTTTTTCTGTCTTTTTAATTCTATTCCTTTTTTTCTATTAGTGTTAAGTTAGTGTTTAAGGTTATTTTTAAGGTTTCGGGATATATATATATATATATATTGTCACGATTGGGATCTGTATTATACGTGCTGTAAATACCACGATCGATTATTATCACTATAGTTTTGCCTGCTACTGCTTGTACGATATCGTGAAGTCCCCCAAAAGAGAATCAATCTGTAACAAAGACACAAAATTGTTCAATTGGAATTATATATAAAATTTTTTATCATGTCTGCCTTCATGGTGAATTATAATTTTGTGCACTTTCACAATACAACTTATTCAAGAGAAAGAAGATCTGTGGAGGATTCATTCGAACAGATTAGTTTTTCTCTTACAGTGTTTGTATGCAGTATAAAAGTGTTGTGAGTAACTTAGTTTGTAATTTTTTTCTTTGTTACGTGTCTTTCGTTGTCCCATTTTATTACTTGTTGTGAGCCCCCAAAGTCAAGGAGGAAAGAGAGGGAAGTGTGTAAACGGGTGTAACATTTGATTGTACTACTTGGATATCACAAAATTTTGTCAATTTTGTGATAGTTTGCATTCTATGTAAATATTGTGATTGTGCCAAATGGAAATTTATTAAAAGCCGATACATCTGTTAAGCCAACTTGTCTGTTTTTTTGTCTAGCCCTGCAGACCTTGTTCTATGGGGGCACTCTACAACCCTCGTGAGATTCATTAGTACTTATCATATAAACACAGATTGCATGAAATTGCTGTTGTGTAGTCCAATGGAAGATAAAAAGTGTCTGTGTAAATATTTAAGTAAATCAGATTATCAAAATTGTAGTTTTGATATAACTTATGCAAAGTGTTTATTGTAGCCAACATTTCATTTCACAATTCACCAATGATATGTTTAAGAATTTTCTTAAGAAATATAAAAATGAAAAAGTACCAGATGAATCAGCTCTTCAAAAGAAATATATCATTAGTTGTTTAATGAAATTATCAATATAATCAGAACAAATGCTGAAGATTAAAATTTGTGGTTTTTATTGACAAAACCAAAGATACACTTGCTAGTTATATTGTTAATGTAATGATTGGCATGCTTGATAGTGCCATTGAAAATTTAGAGGCATCAACTAAAAATACATATTTGCTCCATACTATGTTCATAGAAGCAACAAATCATTCAATCATCATTCAATCATTGCAAAATGCATAAATGATGCACTACAAATTTTGTGACCAGATGGAATACATTATGATAGACTGCTCTTTTTTATGTCTGATGCTGCTAGCTGTATGCTCAGAACAGCTGAGCTGAAAGTGTTTTACACCAAAATGACCCATTTAACCTGCTTAGTACACACATTTAGCAGAATTTGTGAAACTTCATATGACATTTCCTGATAACAGTAAATTAATCACTATCGGCAAAAAAAGTCTTCATAAAGGCTGTAAAATGATGACAGGAATTTTTAAGGATGCTTCCAAATATGCCTATTCCACCAGAGCTTGTACCAACACATTAGACTACACGGCTGTCTGCTATCATCTACTATGAAGACAGTATTCACAATATACATCAAGTTGTTAGAATTTTCAATCTTAAAGATGTTGTGTACATTTCAGAAGCTCTGGGTGTCTTGAAAGTAACAGCATCAAGCAAAAACTTGTCTATATTAATTAAAGCTAATTTGTATTTTTTAAAGATATGATTACCAAGTTGGAAGGGAGACTTTGTAGCAGTATGCCATTTTGTATATATTAATTTAAGTATAGTTTTAGTCCTCTCCTTTGTTCTTAGTTTCTTCTTGCTTTCAGAACTTTCCTTTCTAACTCTTTTCCCTTGGGTAATGACCAATTCTTGGAACCACAGAGAACAATGAAAGAAAAGAGATCCTGAAGGCTGGTGAGAGAAGGGAAGAACATTCTTTGGCCCAGACCTCAAGGTGGACAGATGTTGAATATAGTGTTCCAGGTTGCTTATGGCAACAACTGGAGAGTTCAAGAGAGTCCAAGGAGAACATTGGATTTTATCGTAGTTACGATAAAAGATGTAGCAACTAGGTGCAAGGAGATACCTAGTGAAGATGGCAATGAGAGGCTTTTCAGAAAAAGTTCAACATGGCATCCCACCCAAATTGTGAAGTCTGGCAAAACCCTGGGTATTTCACTCTTTACTGTATTCTAATTTCCCAAATTCTCTTCTCACTCTATCATCTTCTTTCTTCCCTTAGTTTTAAGCTTAGTTACAGGTTTTGGGTTTAATTTGCAATTATTTGTTGTGAATGGTATATCTTTGTTATGGAAAATCTTTGTCAATGGAAAATCTTTTGTCATGTGATGTGCACACGAAATTAGAGTTATCCACAAAGGCAGACAAGATACAAAAACAATGAGATGATATATTTCCTATTTCATGTTTTGATACAGATTCTTATTAGGGATTCCAATGTCACAGTACAATACGATGGTGTACAAATTTGTGGCATGAACAATAGTTTGGTATATCCACTACACATAGAAGGTTCCTGATCGCGACAATATGATCAATCCCGAACCTTAAAACATAACTTAAATACTAACTTATTACTAATAACAGAAAAGGATAGATGTAAGAAGATATAAAAAAGAATATATAGTATAAGAAGGGATACCCGGGTTTTGGGGCATATTACTCTCTGCCTATTTGTTGGATGGGATGCCACACGTTATTCCTATGTAAATGGTCCATTGTCTTATTCTTCAATAAAATTCTGTCCGTTTTTTTTTTTTTCTTAGTATTTTATTTTCACTGTCACTCTAAACTTCTTTCTGATATCTCCGGTTGTTGCTAAGTTGACTCAGAGTGTTCTACATCATGTCCTTACATGTTCCAGTCCTGGCAAAGTATGTCCTGCCTGTTGTCTTTTTGTCCTCAGGGTCCTGTTCTCTCCTTTGTTCCCCTCATTTTTTGGAACTGGTCATCCCACCCAAGGGAAAAAGATTATATAAGAAAATTCTAGAAGAAAATAGAACAATAGAACAAAGGGTAGAAAGGAAAAAACTAAACTAAACTTAAATTATTATTTACAGTAAAATATGGCATACAGTCACAGTCATTTCTGCCATTAATTATTATTAGAAGCCATGTTGTAATTGTTGATTTTGGAGTTGGAATCCATAAAGAACTTGTTCAAATACATGAAATAAAATATTGTTGCTATTTAATACTTTCCGAATTAGCTGCAGCTGTTTCTCTCAGCGATATTTCTTGAAAAAAATCTCATCTATCAAAAGTAACTTTTCTTTACAAATTATGAACTCATTACGGGTATAAAGCTGCTTGAGGGTACCATTTTTGTTTGTTCATTTATAAAAGTCGGAGTCTTCTATTCCAACAACAACCACCAACACATTTCGTGCATTTGTACGGCCACAGTCGACATCAGGGACTGGTATTCATACAGTATCACCAATTTGAACAGAAGGAAATGGTAAAGAATTTGGCAACAGACTGTTGCCTCTCTGTCGACATTGGCTTCTCAGGTATCATTTTGACCTCCACCAAAGCTTATCTGTGCTTGTCGACATACACCAGCAATTGTTCGAATGTATAATAATATAACCAAATATTCGGTCTTTCACCAATGTATTTTGTATATTTGTGTTGATATTCACTGCAGAATATCGACATTCTCTAATTTCAGTCTTTCACAGTAACATATATACAGTATATATGTGCATAAAATCAGACCTTATTAATTAGATACAAATTTTCTCATATCCATGATTGATTAAATTCCTATTCCTAAATGATCTGTAATATAGATTTTATTAAAATATAATAAAAATGATAAAATTTTTATTATATTGAAATTGGTCTTTTTAAGATTTTGTTGGTACAATATAAATATGCTGAAAATTTGTATCTTACTTATGATTAACAATTACAAGATAAAAGTTTAATTTTTCAAAATTTTTAAAAAATTTTATGCAGGATATATAATGTATAAAATTATCACTTGTTAATTAGTTTGTTATTAATTAACATTATTTTTAAAGGAATCAATAAAAATGCCTGAAGTTGTGAATGAAGTAATAAAATCTTTAATTCAACCATGGATTATATTCTCATTAATTTGGAGTGTAGGGACAATTTGTAGTGAAGAAGGAAAGGTTATTTTTAGTCATTGGTTGCGTGAAGAAATGAAACAGAATAAGGTTTGTTTTCACATTTAATATATATTTTATTCTATGTAGTATGGATGTAATACCTAAAATATAAAAAAGAATATATTTTTTATTTTTTTTTTATTTTAGGTATTCTAAATTATAGTTTATATTTGTCATGTATATATTTATTTGAAAATCGAATAGATTTCTGATAGAACAAAATAAAACAATACAGTAAAATAAAACAGATATAAAAACATCTATCTAATTTTACTATCAGTTTCTGTAAAAAATTTTAAGTTTTTTCTTACCATGTTTATAAATAAACATATTATTTGTTATTATTTTATTTAGATGTCTTTTTGTGCAAATTCAGAAATTATCTCAAAAGTAATTATTATTTCAATAACTTTTGACTTAGTACTTTCTTAAATTCTTAAAAAGAAATTTTTAAATAGTGGAGATGGAAAAATTCCAATTATTAAGTTGTAAAGTAAGAAAATCTCAAATAAAAATTTCTCTTTACTTAAACTTATAAATGAAAATTGGTAAGAAAGAATTGTTTACTTTTATTTTTTAATTTATGATGATTTGGATAAATATGATATTTACAAATAATAAATATCTTTCCTTCATCTAAAGTATAAAAAAACTTTAGAATTAAAATATTCTGAAAAATTGACAGGTAAATAAACATAGAATAAAGAAAAGCATGATGATTCCTCATATATCTTTAGATAAATAGAGAATGTGTGATAAATGTCATTTGGAAATGGTTTACCATGAAATATGAAAAATATCAACATATTAGTGTTTTACAGAATATAAAATAAATGATTATTTTTCATTTGTTTTTGTTTATGAGTTTGAAATAAATAGTTTCATATATAGATTGTTCACTTAAACATCTGTCCAGGGGAAAAAGAGAGAAACGTTACACAAGTGTATGCATGTGGTGCAATGTTTGTTTTAATGCTAAAATAACCAATAGCTAAATATTTATCCAAATGCAAAAAAAAATGAATTCATTTTAAAAATGTTACTGGACAGAGAAAGCTCCACAAACAGACTGCATCTTGACTAGTGACAAATATCCTTAAACACAATTGGGGGGAATGGTTTAATGACTTACCATTGACATAACTACAGCTGGTTTGATTACAGCACAATGGTGCACCACCTCATTCTCAAACAGACGTTCATTTGTGAGTGATAAGGGCAAAATTAAGAGTTATACAACGAAACAATTTTGCACATAAAAAAATTATATTTATTTTATGGATTCCAACGTCACAATACAACACGACGGTATATGAGATTACTACTATGACAATATTTAGATTCGAACGTACGGTACCATTTTTGACCGCAATAACAAAAAGGGCCCGACCTTAGAACTAATCTTATATGCTAACTTAATACTAGTGAAAGAGAAGAACAGAAGTAGAAGGATGAAGGAAGAATACATACGATAGGGACAGAAATACCCGGGATTTTTGTTGGCATGTTCGAACTATTCGTACTGTAGGGTGGGATGCCACACGATGACTTCTTTGGATTCGACTTATCGTCGTCTTACTCTATATTTAATATTTCCTTTTCTAAAATCTTTTGTCGCTGTCGCCAGACAAGAACCTTTATCTTAATGTCTTTCCAAGATCTCCGGTCGTTGCTTAAGCAACCCGGAGTGTCCACTCTCCACTTCCGTACACCTCACCGTTCCTCGAACGCCCTTTGTCTTTTCATCCTTGTCTTAAGGGTCATTCTAACTTCTTTGTTCTTCCGTTTCCCGGAACTGGTCATTCCACCCAAAGGACAGGGATTAAGATAGGAAAGTTCTAGAAGGAAATGGAACAATAGAACAAAGGATAGAAGGAAGAAACTAAACTAAACTTAAATTCATATATATAAAATATAGTGTACAGCTACACATTACTGGCTCACAAAAGAGTTTATCAACTGCTGAATAGGACAACATAACCCTATGTCATGGACATCAAATTCTGCAGACTTGACCCCTCTGGGTTTTTTCTTTGAGGTTACCTAAAAGCATTGGTGTATAATGCATACATAGCAGTGATGATGTTAGCAAACTGGAAATATGCACAACAGACCTGTGAAGGTAGTGACACAAGGACTAAGCATGGCATTATTGTGTCATGCATGCTCAAACATCTACATCTTTGTATTGCCACTGAAGGTGGTCATTTTGAACATTTTTCTCTAACAAAATAAATCATGTTTGCTTCATTTTGCTTTAATTTATATGAATTAGTCAGAAAATATGTTATGTATTATAAAAATTTTATGAAGAGTAATTGTATAGTTAATTTTGATAATTGTTTAAATATTATTACTTTAACTTTGTTTTCTTTTTAATGATTTAGATTACACCAGAAATTCCTTTTTCAGGATTAGTTTTTGATTATACGATTGATGATAAAATATTAATGAATGCATTAAAAACAGAATTTGTTCATGATAAACATAAAAGACAAGTAAATTTATATTCTGTTTTTTAATTAATTTATAATTTAAGAATTTATTTTATAAAAAGAGATGTAAATTATTAATTTATTTTAACAGAAATAATTTAAAGCAGTCAAAATTAGAAAATTTATTAACATAAAATACCTTTATTGTAAATTAGTTGTGTAAAATCATTATAATTATACTTTAAAATATTATCTTAATGTTTATACACAATATATAAAATAGATTTATCAATTGGAAAATTTTTATAAAAATTTAATTTTTTCAGGTACGTTGGATTTCCTGGTTATCAACTACTACTGTTCATTCAGTTTCTGAAATTGAAAAAATTTATAGTATAATGATTACTACAAAAGAGACAATTCAGTTACAAAATCTTATTCATATATTACTTCTTGCAAATAAGATGGTACTTTAGAAATAATTTGGTTAGACTAATTAGTATTGATGTATAAAATTTAATACTAAAATAATTTGAACTTTTGTAGATTCTTTGTGTTGGGCCAACAGGAACAGGAAAAACCACAGTAATTCAAAATACATTGATAAAATCTTTACCACAAAAATATTTGTTTCAATGTATTTTATTTTCTGCATATACAAACATTACAAATTTGCAAAGTTTAATAGAAAGAAAGTTAGAGAAAAGGTATATACAAAATTATATTAATAAAATATTTATTATAATTTTAAAAATTTGGAAGCCTTATAATGTAATTTCCTTACACTTTGTATTTTAAATTGATATTAGGGTTTTAGCACTTGGATATTAAAGTTATCTAAAATTTTAAATGTAAATTCAAGTATATTATTTTCATGTTTATATGTACTCTGTGTTTTGCAAAGTTTCTCCTGGATTTATTGGGTAATTGCATATAGTTGTATATATAAGATTATATATATCAGATTCATCTCTGAAAGACCATTGGATTTTGATTCTGCCACTACAGACAGAATTATCAATGTTGAAACTTCTGGGACAAGGCAAAGTGTAGTTAACAAAGACCTTGTGCACCAACTGTGAACTGTAAGTGTTTTTATCTACATCACTGTGTTTTCTGGTTCATCCTGGAGAGTTTGATTTATATCTGACAGTTTGGACTGTGGGAATATAAAACGTGAGAACGAGTCGACAGGTAGAACTTTAGTGATTTCTTCGGAGGGACAAATTTAGAATAAGCGTGCTTGATAGACCAGATGCTTAGCAGGGGGGAATCCACTGATCTCAATAGGGACTAGACAAAGACAACTATCCAAATTAACGAGATAACCCTTTAATTTTCCTGAGAACATACAGTACTTCTAGGAAAAAAAGTCACAGGAATGTACAGAACCCGACAATCCAGTATACCGAATATCGTTAAAATCAAATCTCCCGACAATATACTGCTCAAAATTCCTGTAACGTGAGGATATAAAACATACTGACAAATGAGTTTGAAGTGTACCTCTTCCTTTTCTTCACTCAGCAGAAAACAGTTCGAAATTCAAAATATCCACACTGACTGGGTTGCACAGTCTTTACTTTCCCACGCAATTTCACCACCACCACTACTTTGCTTCTTCCCCGTCCTCTCTTCACTTCTGTTCTAACTTCTCCCCGAGACACACCCTCCAATAAAATTCCCACCCTCGGTTACACCCCAGAATTACACATCTCTCCACCAAGTCAGTCCCACCATGTGGCGAAGGGGGGAGCAAGAAAAGATGTAAGGCACAGGACTGTTGTATCATAAAACATTAGACTTTACTGTCACAAATTTTGGCAGGCTTTGAAGGCTGGGCATTCATATCTGTGCGCCAACTCTGATATTTTCTTTCAGCATGTGTTAATTTTTATCAATTTCAGCCTATCTGTTTTGTTTTATTATGGTTTTTGTTTTTGCCACATGGTCCTTGAGAACAAAGACCTTTCTCTCGGCCCTCCCATACCCAACCCTAATCTGCACTTCTACTGACCCTAATTCAGTGGTTTTTTAGTTCTATGGCCATGGTTTTATTCTGAGGTCTATTAATAGCGTTATATATTATCTATTGCTGTCTTTGGTCTAATAGGATACTTAATTTTAATTTTCTCTACTTTCGGTGGTCTATTTTATTGTCTTTTCCATGATGTCGTTGGAAACGATCCAGCCATCTTCTGACCCACTAAATTTGAGTTTTACTTTGGACAAGCTTCTCTCCAATATAAATTTGTGCCTGGAAACTGTATTGAATTGTCTGCCATCTAGCAGCTACCATACTCAGAAGAAGGAAGAGAGGTGCCAGGTGCGGAATACTACTGTTTGTATGCACTCAGCATTTGGCATGATGCTGGCCCTGCAGGAGAGGGAGAAACCCACCCAATCTCATCATTTTCTCCTTTGCCAATGTGACCAGGCTGCCCCCTACAAACAAGTCCACAAAACTGTTTCATGAAAACTCAGCAAACTTAGGAGGAGTCACAAACTCTAGGAAAGAAGTATACAATGTGATACAATGTCATCTCTCCAAATGAAAATAGTGAAGACCTTTGACCAATTCCTGAAGAGATAATGCAGGAATTCAAGAGAGGATATCCCAAAGTTTTGGGCTAGACATAAAGGCAGTGCATTTCCTAAGGAGTGGGAACATCAGGATCTCAGTCCAAAAGGAGGAGGATGTCTCTAAGTTAAAGGCAACCTTTTTTTACTGAGGACCCAATACTATTAGGTAAACTAAAATTCTCTGAGCTTACCTGTAAAAAAAACCAACAGTAATACTAAGATGACCAATCGTCCTCCTTTTGTAAGTTTTGTCCTCCTACATGTCCTCCTTTCTGATATTTGAAGACTAATCTGTAAATCTCCGTATTCAATTAATGCCGAACCGATCCGTTGCATGTGATGTGATATGACATGTTTGTATTTAACATGACGACTCATCAAGGCTCTGTACAGTGCAACGAGATACAATTATGACATGCATGCTCTTTGCACAGGAGACCTTGAGAGAGAGAGAGACCGTATGCGCAAATAGCTTTGTTTACTTCTTATTGAAACATGACATAGAACCTATGCATGCAATAGAGATTATTATAGTGTATTATTGTTGCAATGAGTAAAATGTTTTTTATTTACAATATTTTTTCCTTCAATTTATTAGTGTCTTCCTTTTCATTGTAAAAAAGTTGGTCACCTTAGTAATACTCCTTAATGTACTAAAGAATATCAAGGAATCACAGGTTCTGGAAGCTATGTAGCACTGGAATAGGATGATAAGAGATGGAGCTACACATGAAGAGTTCAGTAATTTGATAAAAATAGTGAGAATAGTAAACTCTGCAAGGGGAAAGCAATACAGACACACAGTCTTGGCTGTCTCCCCACAACTGAGAAACATCCTTATAAAAATGAAAAGAGTCTCTATTGAATGGTCTCCTGTGACATTGCTTCATCCAAAACTTCCTGTAGTTGTAGTCTGTGTAATGTGCACTATATTCATATGTTGAGTCTTAGTGTTAAATCTGCTTCCACTATTCTTATGCCACAACTTTTAAACTTTCCTTTGTAAGGCTTTGGACAGGTCCAAACCCTCACTAAAATTAGTATAGATCAAATACATTTATGCATGTATATTTCTGATTATCTGGGCTAATCATTGGTAATGGAACATGGATAATCTGCAAATCTGTTTTATTGAAAGCTAATCAATTTTTCTTTTATTTAGTTTATAGTAGCAGGTAGCACCATCATCAAGGAAGCATTGAGGTTGGCAACACAAAAAGTAGAAAAACGAACCCTGCGTTTCTTTAGGCAGTGCTCAAGAAGCACTTTACAGCGAATACACTGAAACTGGTTTGTAATTGGCCAACACTTCTCGTGATGTCATTTTGCTACACTCTTGCTGCATAAAGAAACATGGGAGAACTGATTCTCATTCTTATGTATTCTTGATGTGGGTGAGCTACTGAATTGAACTTGTCAATACACATGGGAATTTTGATTTGTATGAATACACGAATTTCTTTGTTTGTCATTTGTAGTCAGTTGTATGTATATATTGGAAAACTGATGAAATAAATATTGTTATTGTTACACAAAAGATTAGTATGGAATCCTTTCCTTAACCTGTTTCTATATGATCATGCGACCTTCCTCCTAACGCTAAAACTACTTAACCCACCTACCTCTATTACTACTCTCTTCAACCATTAATATTTTTATTTATTTATTACCAAGTCCAGCTATAATTGATAGAATTAATGTGAGAAGTCTTCGTTTTAAGGCCATTTATTTAAAATAAAAAAAAAGGATACTAAATTTTAAGTTAACTAGGAATTTTACACTAAATACAAACAAAAACTTGAGTGTAACAAAAAAAATTGAAGAGATGGAATTTTTTTGGTATTTTTTTCATTTTTACCAAGTTGAAATCTGTAAGAAAATGTATAAAAATTCTATGCAGTTTTTTACTTGCAGGCCTGTTTAATTTAAGTATATGCATCTTAGAAAAATGCAATATTATTTACTTTTAAATACTATATAATACTGTACTTTAAAAATATAAGAAATAGTTTAACAAGACTGGATGGATTATTATTATATTTTTTGATTTGAATATTTGTAATTTTTGTAATGCTCTTTATTTTCAGTTATTACACAAAAATAATATAATTAATAGTATATTTCAGTCTAATATTTAATTTTATGTTTTTAGAAAAAAAGGGGTTTTTGGACCATCACAAGGAAATAAATTGATTTTCTTTATTGATGATTTACATATGTCTATCCCAGACTCCAATGGTGCACACCCTCCAATAGAACTGCTTCGTCAGTGGGTAAATTTTAATGATTGGTATGATGATAACGTTTTAGGTAAGCATAAAAGTGTGAAATTAATAAAACATTGTATTAAAAAACAGTACCAAAATGTAAAGAACTAGATAAAAAATTCAAATTGTTTTAAATATAAAATTTTTATATATACTAAATTAAATGGCTGTATTTATCATGATAAGTTGAAAAATTTTGCAGCAATCTTATTAAATTTCTATCTATTAAAAATATGATAAATTAACAAATATTGTTAAAATAAGAAATATCTATTTCAGATGAATTTTGCCATATTATTGATGCTAATTTCATTTGTGCCATGAGTCTTTCTGCTGGTGAGCAGAATCCCATATCAGCTCGATTTACACGCCAGTTTAACATACTTATTTTTAATGAAATGGATGATTCAAGTAAAGCATTTGTGTTTGGAACAATAATAAATAAATGGTTTGGTGAGAATATTTGAAAGTTAATTTATTTACTGAAATTAAAATTAAAAATTTTGAAAGCTTTTTTACAATTAATTGTTAATTCTATTTATTAAAATTTTTTTATATATGAATTTTAAAATTTAAACTTTATAAAACTTATGAGAAATACTGTTTTCTCATTCAAGGTGACAGAAAAGAATTTAAAGATTTTGGAAAAAAGCTTATTAACTCAACAATATTTTTATACAATGAAGTGTGCACTTTATTCCTACCTGTTCCTTCTAAAACTCATTACATCTTTAATTTAAGAGATATATCAAGAGTTTTCCAGGGAATGTCTATAGCAAATATAAAATATATTAAGGTATTTTACTTTGCTTTTATGTTGTAAGTTCTTTATAATAAATGTAACTTTTAAACTAAAATATTTTAGATAAATTTTATCTACACAAATACACAAACTATTTAATTTTTGCAATAAATTTAAGGATATTTTCTTTTTTAAAGAATTAATAAATTATTCCAAATCATAAAATTTAAAATATTCCTTATTTATGTAACTTACTAAGTTGTTATGACATACATTGGAACCTTGTGCATCGTTTCTGTTACCATTGTTTTCTTATTTTTTCTTTTCTCCATTAGGCCTCAAACTATTATTTTTTTTACATCAAATATTGAAAAATTACATTCTGATTAACATTTTCCTAAATTGGCAGGTTTTTTAAATTTGAAAACAATGATTTAGTAGCTTAGAGGAATAAATGCATGATAAACCTGTATGAATTCAAAAAATTGATACTATCTATGTGTATCCGCAGTATATAGACTAAAACCGGGAAAGGCACCGGGCCCAGATGGAATAGTAACAGAAATAGTGTATAAGGTATGGGAGACAAGCCCAGATTACATGTCAAAACTGTATAACCTGTGCCTAGAGCATAAGGTCTTTCCGTCAATCTGGAAAACGGCAAAACTAGTAATCATACCAAAAGGAGATGGGCTGGAAAAAAGTGAAGCAAAAAATTACAGGCCTATAAGCCTTTTACCAATACTTGGCAAGGTTCTGGACTATTTAATAAGTCAAAGAATTATGACGCACATAACAAGGAACAAGTTCTTAAACATCAAACAGTATGGGTTTCTTCCAAACAGAAGCACAGAGGACGTAATATGCACAGTAGTCAAAGAAATCGAATGGACACTATCTAAGAACAAGTATTGCTGTGGGATTAGTTTTGATATCAGAGGCGCCTTCGACCACGCATGGTGGCCCCTGATCCTAAAGTCCTTAAGAGAAGCTAAATGTCCAGGGAACATATACCAAGTTGTAAAGGATTATTTACATGATAGGAAGGTTGAATATTCAACAAACAGTTCAAACATTACTCGAGCCCTTGATAGGGGATGTCCCCAGGGTTCGAACTCGGGACCATTATTTTGGAACTTAGTCTACGACCAATTCCTTAGGATTGATAAAGGAGAAGGAATCCTAGAACTTGCATATGCTGATGACACTATCATCATCTACGGTGCAAACTCCCGTAGAGAAATAGAACAAATTGGAAACCAAGTACTTGATAAAATAATTAAGACAGGAGAGCAACTTAAGCTTTCATTCAATGCTAAAAAGACAAAAGCAATTATTTTCACTAAAGGTCGAACTCCTGACCTATACAAGAGATGTCCAATGTTGAAGATGGGTAGCGATAATATAAAAGTAGTGAAGCAACTTCAATACCTAGGTGTAGTGTTGGATAATAGACTATCTTGGCTCCCCCACACTATCTCAACTAGAGATAAATGCATAAATATGTTTAACGCTCTTGCAAGAGTGGCGAAGGCTACATGGGGCCTGAATAAGGATGCCATAGAGATTATCTACAGAGGGGCTTTCATTCCAAGATTAACATACGCAGCAGCAGCTTGGCAATCAGCTGCTGATAAAGAAGTAATAAAAAAGAAAATATACAGTGCACAGAGATGTGCCTTACTAAGAATTACAAGGGCATATCGCACTACATCTACCGAAGCATTATTGGTTATAGCGGGCATGCCACCAATAGATCTAATCATGAAAGAAAAGGCTGTCCTCTACCATTGCAGAAAGGGGCATAGCATTCAAATAGAAGGGAGAGTGTTAAAGGCAGACGAAATAGACCTTAAGCCAACTTCACTTATGTTACCAAGGCCACCAGAACGGAAAGTGATAGAGATAGCAGAGAATGAGGAAAGAGGTGAAATAGAACTGTACACAGATGGATCAAAGGTGGATGAACATGTAGGTGCGGCCTTCCTGGCAATGTACAATGGTGACGAAACTCATATAGGAAAATACAGGCTCAAAGATTACTGTTCAGTTTATCAAGCTGAACTACTGGCAATAAAACATGCTATAGAGTGGGTTATTTCTACTGAGACAAGTGGACTGGTGATTGTTAATACAGATAGCCGGTCAGCTATCAATGCTTTACAGCAGTTTGAAGACACAAACGCAACAGTTTTGAACATTAAGAATATGATAAACAAAAGTGGGATGCAAATAAAATTTCGTTGGGTTAAAGCCCATTGCGGCATAGTTGGTAATGAAAAAGCGGATCTTCTAGCAAAAGAAGCCGTGCATCTAACTGAAGTATCTTATAGCAAGATCCCACTATCATACATCAAAAAGACAATCAGATCAGAAACCAACATGATATGGCAAGACAGATGGACTTATTCTAATAAGGGCAGACACACATTCTGGCTCCTACCGAGTATTGAAGAAAGAATTAAAGACTTACAATGGCTCAAAATAAATTTTATTACCAGTCAGATTCTTACCGGACACTGCAATAGCAACGAGTACTTAAAAAGAATAGGTAAAAGAAGCCTTGCAGCATGTGAATGCGGGGCAGAAACTCAAGACTTAGAACATATACTCCTGAACTGTTATAAATATGAAAGAGAAAGATTGGAGTTGAAGCTTCTGCATGAACAAAATACAAGTTTCCAAGACTTGGAACTTTACCATTTAATCCGTAACAGAAACCTGGCTAAAAAATTTCAGACCTTCGCGAGAAGGGTACTTATGTAAAGGAGGGAGACAAGCCAACTTCCTACCTATCTGCCGGTAAGTCACCGGCTAATCTTGTACAAGTGTGACGAGAACGCGTGATTTATTTTAATGTTATTTAATCTTAACTGTTGTTTGCAAAAAGTTGTATGTTATAATATTTTAATTGTCAATAAAGCAACGTTTTCCTTGTGGTGCCACTGGCGGGACAAGGATGACTGATTCCCGTAAGGGGAAATGATGATCATACAATAAAAAAAATATATCTATGTGTATCTTACTGTTTAGTGCTATCTGGATTGTCTGCTGAGTTTTGAAAAATTTACGCATCATCTATAGTCCTTCACCATAATGTTATATACCACATATGTACTTAACCCATGAACAAATACCAGAATGAGATTTGTTTGTGTATTTATGGGTACCAGAAATAACAAAATTGTCTATTGTTATCATTTTGGTTTTTTACAAGATGTATGTATATTTTTATACATACATCTTGCTTATACAGACAGAACTTTCAATTCAATACAAACTTTATTGTGTCACGTCTCACTCCACAGAGCACTGCTGAGGAAGCAAACAACAAGTTATAACAAGCATACAGACATTAACAAAGAAACATTTAAATGCATAGTTATATAAGAAGTACACAAAGAGTGCATGCTATATACATGCAGTAGGGTATTCATTGTTAGTTATGCTACAAGAACATGTATGACAAAAGAATACAGTTTAAAAAACAAACAGCATGCAACAGTTTAATTAAGTACAAAAGCACAAAACTGTATAGTACATAATCATATCACATTACAATAGATAAGGGCATAATATTATATTATACAAAAGCATACAGCAAAATATTCATTATTAGTTACACTTAGAGGATTTGATCCCGGGATCTCGAAAATCGGGATCCCGACCACTTTTCAGTCCCAAAATTTTCGGGATTAAGTTTTCCTAATTCCGGGATTTTCGGGATTGACATCATTTAAAAAAAATTGCAAAATAGACTGCATGAAGCAAAACATTCAGTGCCAGTGCTTTTAACAGAATTGCTTGCCTATCATTTTAATATAAAATACAATAAATTTTATTCCAAGCAAGCAGCAGAAATTAACCTAGCGGGCTTGCGATGCTTGCTTGGAATAAAACTTCTTGTATTTTCAACTAAAATGATAGGCAAGCAGTTCTCACTGGGTTACTTGGTAATATACTTCATTTTTGTATTTTTGAATTTTCGCGGGCGCCAATCGATTTTCTGGCGCAGTCGAGAGCACTACTCAGTGCGTTTTACCTGTCAATGTGTCAGCCATCTTGTTTTGCCAGTGTAGTTAATATAGACCCGACGCCTCTCGCTTAGGGGGGTCGACCTTAGGTGAAAAGGTTACGACCCTCGCCTTGCCCGCGATCTGTCAGGATGATGCGAGAAAGTCTTTTTACGTTTCGGGGTAGTGGTTTGCTGGACGCTGAGAGACTCACACAGAGACCGAATTTACAAAATTAACGCGTTTATTTTTAGAAAGACATGCTTACAATGATCGAAACAATCGGGATTGTAGCCTTTACTCCTACAATCCCGATCCGTGTCGACCGGACTGTTTTCTTCCATCCTCCCCGTGTCCTCGAAGCTTATAAGTATTTACTAACGATTCCTCCAACTTCCATCAAACCTAAACGCGTTTTCTCAGCAGCTGCATATATGTGCAACAAATTGAGAAGCAGACTTGGTGATGAGACACTGGATGCGTTGTTATTTCTCAGATCATATTTTCGCAATTCAAATTAGAATGTTCCTATTAGATTAGTTTTCTTTATATTTAAGAAAAATGTGACTGATTAATATTATTTTTAAATACTTTTTGCTAAGAAACTTACTTTACTACCTACTTACTAGGTTGCTATATGAAAGTAGTCTATTTAGTCGATGTTAAGAGAGATTTTTGTTAATTTTCAACGTTTATTTGCATAGTTTGTTACATAAAGGTTTTTTCAATTTATGTGAGTTTAAAGAGATCTCAGTGATGCTTAAAAAAGAATAAATTTAACATGAAGACTGAGTGATTTTAAGTCTGGTTAGTCTGACTCTGAGTCTGATTAGTTAGAGTGATTAAATTAGCTAGGTGTATACCGTAAAATATGTTGATTTTTGTCTAAATTTTGATTTGTTGATTTCTGTAAGATTTTCTTATTTTTTATTAACCCTCAATACCGAAATAATCCCGGGATCCCAGGATTGACTAAGTATAATCCCGAAATCCCGGGATTAGAAATAAGGACCGGGATCGAATTCCCTAGTTACACTATAAGGATATGTTATAACTAAAAGGGATACAGTGCAGAGCAGCTTACATAGACAAGCACAAGACAGTAGTAATCATAATACAATGCAGGGTACCTACAAATACATATATCGTATATCTCGGCAGATAAGACGATAGTTGAATCATAAAAAAGGCCCCCAAAATCTGGGTCTTCTTATAGGATAGATACAAAAAAAATTATATTGAAATTTATATAAATTAAAACCATTATAAAAAGACAGACAAACCATAACTATTTACTAGAAGAGAGTATGGCATATGCACAAAATAGAATAGCCCATACGACATTTTTGTGAATAGTCAAGGTCATTACCTGAATGCTGAATCAGTGTCAGTGTTTGCAACAATCGCAAGGCAGTGCTGCTAGATTCAAGAAAATAAAATTTGTTTATTTGAAAAATTACAAATAGGACATAATTCTGTATACAGTATTATTATTCAAATGATGATCACTGATCTAAACTAAATTCATAGGTTGTTGATAGTTTGGGGGGGTCGTCTTATAGGGTAGATATATGCTAAAACTATAAAACTTCGATGAAAATTTATACCTTATCTTATCTGAAGGTAGTCTTATCTGCTGAGAAATATGGTATATTTACCAATATTTTTACAAGAGTAGTCCATTTACCAGTGTTTACCTTAATGTGGGGAAGAGTGAACTGAATACAAAGCATTCTTAATATATCCCTGTTTGAAGGAAGTAGCTGTGGATAAATTCCTTGGCTGCACCAGCTGGTATTGTGTAGAAGAATTCTTATCTTGTTTCTCTAGTCCTCCAGCATTGGGCATTCCATAAGATAATGACATACCCATCTGAGACACAGAGCTTTGCAAGAACTTCCTGGCATCTGGGAATGTGCAGAAGGAACAAAAAAGAGAAGAATATGATTAAAATATATCAAAGACAAGTCTGTCCAATAAGGATCACCATTTATTTTGCATTTCAGACATACACAGTAATGGCAACAGGCCTTCCTTTTTAGGCTACATGCCACCAAAAGGTAAAAAAAGTCCTTTAAAAAACACAAACATCCAATTAAAAGTAAAGGAATCGGTGATACAGACGTCTTACTTCTTATCCATGTGGCCAATGGGTGGTTCTGCTTTATATCTACTAAAAAAGCGCTGGAATATGTAGATTTTGAAGCTGCCCCCTGGCGACGGTACATTTAAAATTTCTTTTTGTTGAATTTTTCCGTCCGATGGCTGGATTATTATTAAAATATATCAAAGACAAGTCTGTCCAATAAGGAGCACCATTTATTTTGCGTT